GTTCATGTCTAACTCTACATTCTTTACCTGGTCTTCTGATTTCATCATGGTATAATTCTAAGTGCATGTATGTATAATCTCAAATTCTATTAATCAGTTTTTTAAATATCTAATTATAACTTGTATATGTTTGCTCCCTAAGTTATGTTGCAGTGTATCATTATATTAAACTTTTCTTTTATCTTTTCAAAATCTCTCCTCATATATCTGTTCTTGCTCATATTTCTGACATTCTAGTAGAAAATGTAGTTTCATCCTCTCCGCAGTGCTCACATTTTCCTGTATTGTGCTTCTGTATTTTAAAAAGTGTATAATGTCCAAATCTTAATCTTGTTCATCTTTACTCCTTTCTTCTGCTTCTTCCAGTTTTCATTTCTTCTACTGCCTTTTTGATCCTACTGCCATTCTATCTTTAGCTTTTGTTTAATGATACTTTTCGCCTCTGATTTACTTGTATGTTCAATGAAGTTAAAATGATTTTGAGTTGCCTTCTTTGCCATCTCCTTTCCATATGTGCTGGTACCATAAAAATACTCCTGTTAAATCCATCCTTTGTATTCTGAGTAATGTTTGAAGTATTTCTAATAAAATGTCTGGCCTGCTGTCTGAATGATTGTGTTTTAAACTCAATAATACGGAACTTGAATCTGAACAGATTAATGTTTTTAATGGTTTTACTTCTTCCATCCACTGTGCTGCTTACAGAACTGTTAATAAAGTTCTAGAATCCAGAATCTCCAGGTGTCTGCATGTTGGAGCAGCTCTGTTACTTTCTAAGATTTTGCTTTTGGAAACATTAATTCCTCTTTTTCTGGATGTAAATCACATGTTTCTGGATGGTTGTTTCCTCTGGTATCAGATGCTGTGCAGCTGGAAGGATTTTTACTGAAACTTTTTTAGTTTTGGACATTTGGTATGATGCGTAACCATGGCAACAAGGCAGTTTTCTACAACCAACAGCAGCTGATTAACATCTCAAAAGCTCAAATAATATCTCAACTACAGCCCCAAATCTCAAATAAGTTGAAAAGGATGTTCAGTGGATGCATTCTCATCTACCTGCTAGCTGTGCTCGAGTGCCTGACCACTGAGATCCTGGAACTAGCAGGAAACACGGCTCATGACAGTGGAAGGACAGGATCGTCCCTCGGCACCTACAGCCGGCTGTCCACAGCGATGAGGAGCTCGGCAGACTGCTGGGAGGAGTGGCCATCACTCTGGGAGGAGTTCTGCTCGGCATTCAGGAGGTCCTACAGCCCGGGGGAACCGAGAGGCCAGTCGAGTCTGGGTGGATGGATCGGACGGCATCTGCAGCCAGTTTCTTAGGATCCACTGTGGGATGGACCTTTACAAGAGATCCATCCTGTCTACAGCATCAGCATCTATAACATCTCTCAATGAAATGAGGATAATGAGTTACAACAACAAATAATTTCCCTCTGGGATTAATAAAGTATTTTTGAACTGAATTTGAATTGAAATGTAATCATTCACATTTCTCCTGTGTTTACTGATAATCTGCTGGTGATTTGCTTTCCTGTGTTTATTAGAAATTCCAGGACTATGAAAGCTATTTCTATTTTTTATAGTTGTTATTGATGCACCTGTATAAATCTGAATGTACTGATAATAATTGGGACCCGCCCCTCACCACAGTGATGGCTGGACATCAGGCGCTACAGAGGACTCAACAGCTTGAACGCACACACAAAAGCTTCTCTCTGTTAAATATGATGTAAACCACTGTCGAGCTCCTCTATCTTCTCCCCAGCCACAGCCAGGCAAACATCTCATCATATTTAGTATTTTCTTACATTTGTCTATAAATTTCTGTCTTTTCCTGGTTTTGGTACCATGAGCAGCTCCTTCCAGCTCTGTGCATGGCAGCTTCCCCTCCTCCCAGACTTTATTGTAAAACTCTAATAACATATTTTGATGTATGTTTGATCATTGTGTACCAAATCTGATCTTTACCAGGTGCTGTATTCTTGGATTTCCTGAGCGCACAGTTCACTTCTGCTTTTCTAAACTCTTCATTCATTGTTTCTTCAGCATTTTGGAGTAAATCTTTGTATTTGAGTTTTGTGGCTTCCTGACCTTTCCTTTCTTCATATTTCAGCTTTCTCTGCATCTTTGTGTTAACTATTTTTAATATCGGATATCCAGATTAGTTTTAATACCCTTCATTGTTTTCATTTTCCAAATTGTTTTCAAATTTTCTTTCCCTACCGTGTTACAGAATTTCCGCAAACATTTTTTATTTGCCTTGTTAATGACTGTCCTCACCGTTGCTTGCTTTCTTTTATAAGCATCTAGGTTCTGATCAACTGGATTACTTTGAAGTACTTTAAACACTTTATTACTTCACTACATTCACTTGTCCATCATAGTACTTTTTTCTTATCGTTGTCTTCATTGAATTTTCTGTAGTTTCTAGAATTACTTTATAAACACACACATTTATATTATTTACATCAGTCATGTCAACTTCTTTTGATGATTTTGACTCAAACATCTAAGTTTAACGCAGTCTGGGATAACGATATAAACCAATAGTTTTTAACAACGTCCCACTCAGACAGCAGCCAGTGAGTTCAACGTTAAATCAATTATTGACTCTGCTCCTGTTCTTACATTCATTCTTGTTCACCTCCCATCATCAAGACAAATCGTTTATTTCCATCAGTTCTTCAGTAACGTGTCCATTTTAATCATTTCACTTACCCAGTAATTCCAGGTGTTTAACGAAATATCCAGAGATTATGGACTGAACTGAACAGGCTTCAAGACCAGGTAATACGTTGTTTAATGGAATACTCAACGACGTGCAAACGCAACAAAAACAAAAAAGACATCTTCAGTACAACTCAAGTTTATTTTTTTACACATTTATATTGACAATTTGGTAACATTTAAGAGAAAATAACATATTTGAGAATGACAAAACTATTAAACACCTTTTTTATTCTTATAATAAAATGATAAACTCCCCTAAAAATTTTAAAATAAGGAAAAAAAGGAAGCAATACATAATGCAGCTCAGTACATACCTGGTACCTACATGTACTATGAAGTGTTAGCCTGTATGTAGTACCACGCATGTACCCAGTATGGACATGAAGTACTTGGTACATACCAGGTAGTACACAAAGTACGAGGTATGTGAACTAAAAGGTACGTGGCATCTATGCTGTAAATATCAGGTACTTGTGCAACAAGTAGTGAGTACACAGTATGTACTGGGTACTTACAGGCTACAGAGGGGGACTGGGCTGCTTTATTTACTGTAATCCCAAAAATAATCCACTTTAATAAATCAGACACGTGTGAGGTTTGTCAGGTATTATTTCTGGCACTTTTTAAAAAATACATTATTCAGACTGTGTATATATTGTATCGGTTCATTTTGGCTGTCAGTACTAACAAATCCAGATTTATACAAAATACATCCAAATGAAGCAAAAATCATTTACAACGTAAAAACAAACATGAGCTTAGAAAGAAATATAATTTAACTACTTTACATTCAGAAAAGCCCTGATCAAAAACACACATGAATTTACTAAATAACTCAAAGAAACAAGATGGCTGCTTCAGATCCCGTTCGCTGGAAACTGATTCATCTTTAAATGGAGCGAGGCGACGACCGACCAGCGCTTTGAGTCCAAACATGAACAGGACCGGAGGAACGAGCAACTTCCTGCGAGACGTGCTGGTGTTCAGTGAACGCAGCACCGCCTTGTCGGCTCGACGCTCATCTTTAACTCCTGAAGATCACCAACTGGGAGTTTCAAGACTAAACATTACAAGAAGCCTCCGTGAAGTTCGTCCATCCTGTTCTTCCCTCCGACTGACCCGTCGCGGAGCAAAGACAACGACTTACAAATACCTTCTGTCCGAGCACGATTCCTTGAAAATAAGTGCAAGCATCAATTTTGATTTTAGTGTGGCTGCATCGAGGTGTAAGAAAGGTTCCTTTGGGTTGCCAGGTCAAAATCAAAGATGGCTGCCACCTTATATTATGCACAACTTGTGAGCATCACTTGAAACATAAGCAATGTGCCAGCTTCCATTTTATGGTGGTTTCATCCAGGCATGAGGCCGATATTAAAAATTGAGTCGCCACCATGTACGTACCACTACAGAAGAACTCGTCTCCAAAACTACAAACATTCACGCTCGTTAGAACCCGTGTTTGTCGTTTTATCCAATTATCCATCGGAGGTGAAACAAAGTCTCCTGTCAACGACAACGTTTGAAGCATTAATTTTCCACGAGAGTCCAGTCCTGTCTCAAGTCCAACTAAACGAAGGAAGGCCTCAAACATCTGGTGCCACATTCTGTAGTTGGGTTCGATTAAAAGCAGCTTAATAAATACAGAAACACTGGGTCATTTGTAAATCCATGGGATGCTTTTAAAGACTTGGTTCGACTGCAATCAAACCCATTTTACATGAAGTCAACATGAAAATCTACAACCCCATCCCATGTAAAGGTGGAAAAGACTAATATGAGCACAAAGATTTAAAAAATATTTCTTCTTTAAAATATATTTGCATCAAAATCACATGTACTACTACCTGACAGGAACATGTGCCGTAACAAACAGGATTACATCCCGACATGATCAAACGTTATCCTAAACGTATAGTTTTGTTTTAATTCCACAGTAAATGACCATGAGCTGCAAAAATGAGGTTTGGCATCAAAACAATCTGAGAAACCTGAAGTAACTGATTCGATCGTTTACACGTCGTGGCCCAAAACGGTCTCAGAGCAACTGTTTGGTTCTGAATCTTAACGCGAGTTTAAAGTGCACAAGAGAAGCGTTGATTCAAAAGATCCGTGGCTTTGATCCGCGTGGCTTCGACTCCGCAGCACACAGACCTCGCAAAACGTACAAAAGCCTAAAAATCCCACTAACGACACTGGAACAGAGAAGAAGCACTGATTTAAATAAAACAAATACAACGTGGCAGTCCCAGTCCAGACTGGATTCATGTAAACACAGAAGATCTGATTGGAATGTTTTCACTTCGTTACGATTTGTTTGTTTGTTTGAAACTAATTGTTGAGCTGCTGGTGAAGACCTGCCCTGTTCTGAAGTCCAGACTGGGATGTGGTCCGGTCACAGACTTGTTGATGGATCCGTCTGTTCACTCGACAGCTGACGCAGCGTCAGACGTCTCTCCAGGGCCGGAGGTGCCGTTGGCTGCACGAGGCTGAACCAGAACCGGTGCATTTTCAGCTGCACGACAACAACAAGAACATGAATTAACCCGAGTCAGTTCAAAATAAAACATATTCCAGTCTGTGAGTAAACTAAAGTTCCTCTTATTAATGCCTCTGCAGTGATTTGTACCCAAGAGACTTTTACATTTTCAATCGCAAAAAAGTCAAAAGTACAAACCACAGAAAAGTTGGTACGTTTTGAGAAACGCAACAAACAAACAAACGCATAGAAAAAACTATTATACAGTAAACTATAGCAATGGCCCTGACAAGCAAAGACCTTGTTTAACATTTGACCTTGATTTGTGACCTTGAAGCTGGGGTGATGAAAAGTGACGGTCCATCTAATGATGAAACATCTTCCAGACGTTATGGGCGGGACAAGAGAAGTTTCCATACGTACGTCCAACACAACCCGCCTTTCCACTGGCGTATAGAAACAAACCTGATCATTTGTTTAGACACGTAATGAGTGAAACCAATAAAATACTTGAAGCACCTACAGTGAACAACTGTTGTGAATTGTTACACGGAAAATCAGAAGCCGAGTCCTTCCTTAGAGAGTTCAACCCTTCGGTGATTTTTGTCGACGACAGGGAGACATGTCTGTGCTGTGCGTTAGCTTAGCGCTATATTAGTGCCAGCAGTTGTCAAGCGGGGGGGGGGGGGGGGGGGGTGCACGAGAAGAGCAGAGCTCTTGGTCTGTACCTTTTTAAGCTAGTGCATGTGTATTGGGTGGCTTTTTAAAGTTAAAGGTTTCTAAGACAGAGGACATGGTCTTAGTTTCTTAAAGCCACTTAGAGAGGTCAAAGGTCGAGAGCTTCAAATCTTTTTACAAGATATTCCAGGAAACAGGAGCGAAGTAGGAGAAGGTCCTTTTGTCTAGTTCAGTCCTCACTGAGGGAACACTGCAGGTAATGATGTCCTGAGAGCGCACGCTGTAGCTGCACTCACGCAGAGACATGTAGGAGATGTATGAAGGCAGCAGACCAAGAAGTGATTTAAAGATGAAAATGTACCAGTGAGAGAGTCTGCGTGAAGTTAATGATGTCCAGTTAACCAGTGAATACTGGGTGCAGTGGTGGGTATGATAATCACAGCCAGTTATGAATCTTAGTGCACCATGATAGACAGCATCCAACATCTGCAGCATCCAACATCTGCAGCATCCAACATCTGCAGGGTTCTTGTAGGAGCGTTCTTGTAGATAATGTCACCGTGATCCATGGAGGGAAGGAAAGTCACAGATAGAAGACGTTTTCTAACATTCAGAGTTAAATCAAACCAGATTTTCAGTTGGACAGAAGTCTGACCTTTGACTGGACCACTCCAAGACCTATAATTAGTTCTCCTTAAACCACTGGAGCGTTACTTCAGCAGTGCGTTTATGGTCATTGTCTTTCTGGAAGGTGGACCTCCGTCCAAGTCTCAAACGTCTGATTGTCTCAGAAATTAAAATTCTAATCCCGTCCTCCTTTTGTTAAAGTGTTGCTACATCGAGATAATATTAGAGAGTAGATTAGAAAGAAATGCCTCTTTAAGCTGAGCCCGGTGAGGCAAGCAGCACAAATCAGCAGTGGGAGAGGAAAAACATTTACCTGATGTTTCCGTAGGACCCGGCTGTAAAACTATTACTGGCACACGATCTCCTGCTGCAAAACAGAATTTTACATTAAGAAATATCACCATCTTATCAAAAAGTCAATTTTATTTATTTATTTATTGTTAACCTTGACAGGAACACAAGTTTTAGGTTCACAACATGCACACTACGTAGTTATATCAGTAGAAGAATATTGTGTTAAATTACTTATTGGCCAGGAGCAGCTTGGTACAAGTGGCACAGCGAAGTGTTTCTAAACCGTTATGCTACGAAAAGCTGCAGCTCCAGCTACAAATTCATTGCACATGAATAAGAAAAGTAATGAACAACAAGCTGGTGTCCCCCGTCGCTGAGGGAGTTGAACAGTGACTGTTTTTACTTTTCAAGACGAGTGTTTTTCTGGAACGGAACTGAACAGGAAACGTAAGAAAACATGAACGTTTTACGTCAAGATATTCAAGTGTGTAGGAGCTATACTGTGTAGAACAGAGGTTTGGATCCCAGTGGGTGGAGGGAGCAGTTTGATCCCCCACCAGGTGCAATGGGGGGTGGCCAATGGTGGCTTTGGCCCCCATAGATTAATCTCTGGCCACCCCATGGGTCACCCCAATGGAATGAGGAATATTGCGATATAAAAACAACTTGGATTGTGACGTGGCAACCCAATTTTGTAAAGCAACTTTTTTATGCCTGGATGCAGCCACACACCAAAATGGAAGTCCCGGTAAGTACCTCACTTATTTTCAAGTTATCACGATCACAACATCCAGGGGCACACGAACAGACGGCGTTTACAACTCCCACTTTTTGCTCAGCAACAGGGGACGATAAAGTGTACCACCAGGGCTGGGTGATTCAAAGAATGTCAGCCGTCAGCTGTTGGAATCCATTTGTTTGCATTTTTTAAAAGAAAGAGTTTCCACTTTAACTAATTTAATTTTCCCTCAACAGGTGTGATCTGTCATTAAATGTTCCATTAAAGTCTAAAGCTGAACACGCTGTAATACACACGGATCGAGTGCAATCCAACTCATTTCTCTAAATAAGTGACAGTTTCAGAGTTCTTCCTCAGATCAACACGTGGAGGTGAAGAGAACTGGGACGCCCCACGGCAGCTTTCATAACCATCAGCTGTTCCAGACCGTTTGTAGCAGGTCTATTCAACTGGCGGCCCGGGGGCCGAATCAGGACCACGGGTGAGCTCAGTTCAGCCCACCCATGGGTTCATATTTAAATAAAACTAGATTTTAAACCATAAAACAAACTTACTTACCATACCATACCATACCAATTTATTTATATAGCACTTTAAACAGTGACAAAGCACACCAAAGTGCTGTACAGGGACAAACAGAACAAGCACATAGCAACAGATTACATAACAGGACACCAAAAATGTAGAAACCAACAAAAACAAGCAGTTACTTGGACAGTAACTGCTGGATGTCCGGCCCCTGAGCAGTTTAGTGGAATTGCCCTGGTTTACAGTCATTCATAAACTGGTTTTAAATGTATCACGGTTAGCTAAAGCAGCTTCCTCCTGAGCAGCTCAACCTGTGAGTTCAGGTGCCGTAGCTGGAGGCTTAAATTACTCAAACCCTCATTCTCGCTCGGTTATCATTTGCTGCAGTGACACTTTATCTTCTCCACCGTGCACTCTCGATTTATCTAAAACAAGAACCATGCTGCTCCACACTTACACATCACCAAACAAAGCTGCTGCAACGAACTCCACTCAACGACCAACGTTTCCACGAGTCAAAAAACAACAAAGCTCCTCACCTGCTTCCTGTTCTTCCGTCTCCTCCAGATCCTCAGGGTCCATGTAGACAAAGTTGTCCTCGTCCGACGCAGATCTGCACCTCCCACAGCAGCCGCAGCAGCAGCAGCAACAGCAGCAGCAGGTGATTATGGTGCAGAACACAAACAGGGCCTGAAGGAGACAAATGTCAACAGCATTTATGACACGTTGGACATCGAAGAAGATCTGTTGGAGTTTCACGTCATACCTTGAACCAGCACTTGGACATGAGGAAATAATATTTGGCGCCTTCATCACCAAACTGCTCGGCGGCGTACAGGCCCAGAGACCCGTACTCGTCGTAGATCTTACGCTTGTTCTCATCGCTGAGGATGGAGTTGGCATTGTTGATCTCCTTAAATTTCTCAGCAGCTTCAGGGTTGTCTGGGTTCTTATCGGGGTGATGCCTCAGTGCCAGTTTCCTGGAGAAAAATAAGAGATGTATTTTAGCCATTCAGATATTTTATTACCATCAAGTATTTTATACTTCACCAGGATTTCAGAAACAGTAAGACACATTTTTACCAGGCTGGAAAAAATTATCATCAGCCATGAAGAAGTGAGGAGTGTTCGACTCGTCTCTGAAGTTTTCACATTTTCTTGCTAAAGTTCTGTTTCACATTTTTATTGAACACCAAAAGAGGCGAGAGTGAAAGTTTTTGCTCCGGTCTGTGAACTTGATGTTTAATGTCCCGTCTATGCTCAAATAAACAAGCAGTGCACGGTGCACCCATGCCCCCGTCGCTGAAGGAGTTGAATAGTGAATGTTTGTAGTTGGGCAACACGGTGGCTCAGCTGGTAGAGCTGCCGCCTCTCAGCAAGCAGGTCGCCTCAGTTCAAATCCCGGCCGGTCCAGGGGCCTTTCGATGTGGAGTTTACATGTTCTCTCCGTGCTGCGTGGGTTTTCTCCAGGAACTCCAGTTTCCTCCCACAGACCAGAAACATGCAAGTTAGACTAACTGGTAACTCTAAATTGACTCGAGGTGAGAGAGAGAGAGTGAATGGTTGTTTGTCTCTATGTGTCCCAGTGATGGACTGGAGACCTGTCCAGGGTGTCCCCCGCCTCTCGCACAGTGACTGCTGGACATGGAAACCAGTGACTCTGCAACCCGACAAGGAAGAAGCAGGTAAAGATGATGGATGGATGTTTGTAGTTTTCAACATGAGTGTTTTTCTGGACTGGAACTGAACAGGGAAACAAAGTAAACCTTAACGTTTTTGATACATTCAAGTTGGTAGGATTAGAAAAGTTGCACGTACTGTCCATCACTGCGTTGGTCCCCCATACACGTACCTCTAACACCCCACCCAGGCCTCCCAGTACGACCCAATTCAAGAGTGACTCAAGGAGTGTGTGCATCATATGATGCGACTGGAAAAACAGACAATCAAAACCACTTCAGCAATACGTCACTCATTTCATTCAGCCCTCTGGTGTGCTGGTGTCCAAGTCGTTAATTCAGACCCTCTCAGATCTTTCTCTGAGCCACAGACCACGTGGGATCTGCTGCAGTACTGAGACCGTTACTGCCGTGCAGTTAAAACGTTGAACCAGAAGAGTGTGCGTCTCTTTCTCAGAATGTTGCATCTATGTTGTCTGAATCTGGTCAACGTGGCGATGCCGTCTCACCCACATACTGTGAGCCACAGAGCTCACGTGTGAGCAGATTAGGGCTTGAACGACTACATAATTATTAAACTCGACATTAACATAATAAAACTCGAGTAGAACTCGAGTACTTGATGACATCATCATACATAAATAAATAAATAAAACCGCAAAAAAAGGTCATTATTTACAAAAAAGACCAACAAAGCATTGGGAGCGTATATTATGCTCCTACCATTTATCAAACTGTAAATAAGTCACAGGAAAAACTAAACTATTAGTTTTTATTATTAAGCTGCAAAAGTGAAAGAAACGTGCAGCACGTCAAAAACTAAACTAAAAACAGTGTGTGTGTGTGTGGGGGGGGGGGGGGGGGGGTCGACCCCCCCGCCCGCACCACCGCCAGCTGTGCTGCGCATTAAGTTTAGTTTTAGAGATTAATATTTTTTGCTTTTTGAAACAAGGTCAGAGGTAGCTGGTTCTGGTTCGGTCCACTGGACCCGGGTGTTGCACCATATTCTGTGACCTGCAACAGTGCATGCAACACTGCCCCCTACGGTCACAATATACGGTGGACACAGAATATGGTGTAACACCGGTTCACAACGAGCTCCAAACAGTCAGGAAGTTGATTCGTTTTCTGTAGTTGAACCAGAAGATTCATCTTTAGTGAAATATTTACAGACTATTGATGCATTTCCACCTGTTTGTCAAGACTGGACCTGCTCTGCTCCATCCGTCTGCTGGGAGGAATCCATTTTGTAACCCGCGCCCGGTGCGGATCACGTGACGCGATGACGTAACGGCGACATAATGACGCCACCACGAATACTCGACGTGAAATAAAAAAAAAGCTTGATAGATGTCCTAGGAATCGATGTGTAGATTATTCAAGTAGTTTATTAAAGCCACAGATCAGATAGTTGTTTTTTTTTGGATGTACGTTAAATTACAAACACCTTTTGCTTAAATTTGTTTTGCACCCATTTTTTGTGTTGGAAAAATTCATGGTGACCTCTGGTCTTGGGGCAGTTTGTGGTTTTAGTTTAGCATGAACTAAGTGGTCTTTTGAGTTTTTACTTCTTCTGTATGCCGAGATAATTTTGTGATTTATTAGAATTTTGCTTTCTTCTTTAAATTCCTCAGTTTTCTTTTACATCTATTGACTAATTGAACTGCAGAGGGAGAATAAGTTGTCATGAACGTGGCATCTGAACCACAAGCGCAGGTCTGGTCTGAAGGATGTTTTCTAACTTTTTCTCAGGAAGGACCTTGAGTGCCCTCTTGTGGACAAAGTTGCAAACAGCACCTTGGTTACAGCTGAGGGCAGATTCTGTGAAATCTCAACAGCAGCGACTTCATTAAACCAGCATGCGTGTGTTTTGGGTGGTGGCTGGTTTTATGTAATAAAGCGCATGTGTCCGTTTTCTTAAAGAAGACTTTAACATCCAGCCTGTGGCATGTTTTGAACTGTGGGCCTTTATAAGTAGTTGTGTCCAAGAAATCAAGTGTGCAGTTTTTAGTGGCTTTAAGTTTTATAGATGAATTGTGTGTTCAGTGGGTCCAAGAAGTCTTCAAAGTCTCTCTCTGAGTAGGTCTAGACTCCCCACATATCACCAAGTACCTGTAGTAATGTGGAAGTTTCTTTTGACACTTTTCTAACGCTGACATTTCACATTCAGCCATAAATAAATTTGCATAAGCAGGGGCAACCTCTTTCTCATGGCTGCGTCTTTAATTTGTAAAAAGATTTCCCCCATTGAAGTCAAAGTCATTCTTGGTCAGATTCATCTTCAGCAACTGGAGCAGCTCCTCATCAGGTCTCCTTCTGTTTGTTGAACATGTATCTTACTGCTTTAATGCCATCTTTGGTATCAGTATTTGTATATAAAGACTTTATACACACAGTGCATGGTGAATAGAAGAGCAGTTTCAGGTAAGTCTAGTTTTTATTTTATTAATAAAATCATGAATTTTTAATATAACTGTTGTGTTTGATAATGGATTAAATAATAATCTACATCTTCAGCTGTACAATGTTTCACTGCTACACTGATACTATAACTCTTCCAGGAGGAATTTTGTTTGGTTTGCTCCATTTTTGAGATGAGAATCAGCTCCTCCAAATCTGAGGCCATGATCCTCAGTCGGAAAAAGGTGGATTGTTCTCTTCAGGTCGAGGTCCTGCCTCAAGTGGAGGAGTTCAAGGATCTTGGGGTTTTGTTCACGAGTCAGAGAAGAATGGAGTGTGAGATTGACAGATGGATTGGTGCAGCGTCTGCAGTATTGTGACCTCTGTGCCGGTCCGTTGTGATGAAGAGGGAGCTGAGCTGTAAAGCAAAGCTCTGTTTACCGGTCGGTCTACGTTCCTCCCCTCACCTGTGGTCATGAACTCTGGTAAGGATGCTCCCTGGACGCCTCCCTAGGGAGGTGCTTTGGGCATGTCAGACTGGGAGGAGACCGCGGGGAAGACCCAGGATACGCTGGAGAGACTACGTCTCTTGGTAGACCTAGGAATGCCTTGGGGTCCTCCCAGAAGAGCTGGAAGAGGCTGTGGAAAGAGATGTCTGGACCTCCCTGCTCAAGATGCTGCCCCCGAGACCCGACTTTGGAACAAGAGGAAGATGATGGATGGATGCTCCATTTTTCCAGCTCCTTATGAATCTTAGGGAGCATGTCTAACAGTCTAGACCTCGGTTCTGTTGAGCCCAATACTTTATCTGTTTTGCATCAATTAATTTTTTATTACATAAATTATTATGTTATTATTTGGAATAATATCAATATATGTAGGTTTAGATAACTTTAAATAATCATTTGTGTCAAAGCTGTAACCCTCCCACAGGTGATGTTCTGTCCATTATCACAGCCGAGTATCCTTTATCGGTTTGATTATAATATTTTTTGTTCTACGTCAGTTCTTTGAGGGCTATAATTTTCTCTCTATTTAAGTTAGTTCGGTTCTACAGATTTTGAAGTTCTCTTCCATGTATTTTGAGTCATTATAGATTAAATCTGAGACCTGGGGCGGCAGACTGCTCAGTGCAGGAGACCAATCAGACTTCTGAGTAAAGGGTGGAGCCTCCGTACTGCTTTCAGTTTTATAACATATGGCTGTCACAACTAATTAACATCCATCCATCCATCCATTATCTTTACCCGCTTATTCCATTTTGGGTCCCGGGTGCCCATGTCCAGCAATCACTGTGCGAGGGGCGGGGTACACCCTGGACAGGTCTCCAGTCCATCACAGGGCCACATAGAGACAAACAACCATTCACTCTCTCTCTCTCACCTAGGGACAATTTAGAGTTACCAATCAGCCTAACATGCATGCTTTTGGTCTGTGGGAGGAAACCGGAGCACCCAGAGAAAACCCACGCATGCACGGAGAGAACATGCAAACTCCACCCAGAAAGGCCCCTGGACCGGGGTTTGAACCAGGGACCTTCTCGCTGAGAGGCAGCGGCTCTACCAGTTGCGCCACCGTGCTGCCACTAATTAAAATTCAACACAAAAATGTTTGAAACTGGGTTCATTTTGTAGACACAGACCTGAACTTTGATGTGGTAGTAGCTGAGTCATTCTCATCACATACTCTGAGGACTGAACTTGCATTAGATGAAGCATAACCTTATTTTTGAGGTTTGACTAAACATATGCTCTTACTCTAAAACTCAGGTATGAACGCAGTGGGTGGTATGCACCCTTCTAGGAAAGTCATGCCTTCGATTTGACAGGAAGTGGTGGCACTTCCTGTACCTGACATGGCTGTGATGAACTCCTAACAGGACCCTGTGGATGGTGTCAGAAACAGGTATGCAGGTGGTTGACGTGTGTTCCTCTCCGCTCTTCCCTGCAGGTAAGACTCACCTGTAGGCCTTTTTAATCTCGTCGGGTGATGCTCCTTTCTCCAGGCCCAGGACTTGGTACAAGCTCTCTCCTGCTGTTGACATTTTCCTCTGATGTTTGTTTGGATCCTCCATGTTTCACGGTATGACGGCTGTCACACAAAAAAACATCATTTTAAAAATCCGCCATAAACCAACACACTCGAACAACCATTGCTGAGAAAAATAGCTAAGAAAAACAGAGTAAATGAAGCCTTAGCATCGTATAACTAAAAATAAACAAGTATTTCACTACTTGTACTAACTTTACGCTAACCTTGCTAGCGGTACAAACTTGTTGTCAACCCACGTCGTTTGGTAGTTTAGAAGTAAAAAATAAAAAATAAAGCTAACATACCGACAGATGATAAATGTGTTTGTTTCCAGTCGAGTCATAGAGTCCGACAGCTACCACCTCAATGACTTTAACTACAAGTTTTTAACTTTATTCACGAAGCGAAAGTCTCACAACTTTCCGCCACCTCCTCCTCCTCGAGGTCCCGGAAGTTTGAATTCGAAAAGCATTCTGGGTAAGAGAAAAAAAAAGATGGCGCAGAATGGAATGGCATGTCCTGGGGTTTGTCTCATAAAACCCAGATTAGATATTAATCTAGGACTTTCTGCTTATCCTGCTTTAAACTATTCTTGAAATGTTTGTTTCACAAACGCAGTGACACATAAATTACCAAGAAGATTTATTCTGTGAAGTTCGCCTGCCCCAGGTTCTGTTTTAAATCCTGAAGTTGTTTTATGGCCCAGTCAAAAGTCACCCTGACAGAAAAATATCTTAACATCTATCTCACACTTCTACTTCATACTTCCATGCAGTTTGTTTAGTTGGGTAGTTAGTAATCGAAGAGCCTAAGTTAATAGATCCCGTCTGGTGACATTGGATAAAAGAATAATGCGCGCCCACGTAGTTAATGCAGTTATTTCCACGCTGATTAACATTTTATTTTAATATATATGGTGACACTGAGGTGTAGATGAAAAATATTTGAAAAAAAAACAAACAGAATTATATTTGAAAAAACAGAATTACATTGAGCCAAAACGGAATATGAATTAATTACAGTAATCGAAGTGGTGGTGCAGAGGCTAGAGAAGGCGTGCCTGTGATCGGGAGGTCGTCGGTTCAACTCCCTGTACTGTACATCAAAATGTGGGTAGGAAAGGTGAAGCACCTAGCTCCACACTCATTTGCCCCACTCTGAGCCCTTGAGCAAGGCCCTTAACCCCAACCATGTGCTCCCCCAGGTGCCCTAGATAGCAGCTCTCTGCTCCACACAAAATGCTGTTCCTGACCACAGGCCCAGGGTCTGGGTCATCACTGCTGAGAAGGGACAGGATGACAGTCATCTGCACACTATCTCCAACAGTACTAGTAATAAAAAAAAAAAGAGTAATGGGAATAAAAACATGTAGCCAATCTTATTTCAACCATTTTATTAGTGGAAGCTGCATCTCTGAGCAACAGCAATACTGGTCAGATACATTTGAAAAATATTACATGTTCTCTAGGTGTCAATCAGTGAGTTTCCTCAGTCTGTGGAAGGACGTTAATAACAATCTTGCCCATGTTTCTGTTGGCCTCCATGTGCCTGTGGGCCTCTGCGATGTCCTCCAGCCTCCAGGTGCTGTCGATCACTGGTCTCAAGGTGGGGGGCTGCTCTGAGAAATGTGGCAACACTCTGCGGGAAAAAGCTTTCACCAGATTGGCTTTGTACTGTGGAGAAAAATAAAGTATTTAGAGCCCCCTCGATTATGAAAAAAATAACAATCACAATATTTTTGATCAATATAGTACCGGTAATAAGAATTATTGAAAAATAATTAAATTCTGAAACGTTGCATTTATTTCACTTAAACATGCCTTGAACCTTTTCTGTTGATTTGTCTCTTAAAATAATTTAAATGCAAGCTGTTATTTAAAATAGCAACAATAATAATAAGCAGTATATTGCACTTTCATTACATTGTGGAGCCCTGCGATATCTGTTTTTCCCAATTTTCTCGTTTTATTTGTCTAAATTTCATGCTTCACGACCAAACCGACTGCATCGAAAAAGTGCCTTATTGTAAGGAGGATTAATAACATTTCTATAATTAAATGGGAAAACTTCCTAAAATTTCTTATTGACATATAAACAAAAATACAGTAAAATATCTCAGCTCAACAAAACTTCCAATGAATAAATAATAAATCTAAATCATTTTTAAACAAACACTGGTGATTTTGTCAAATAAAAATGTCTCACATGTTTAATACGAGTCATCCTTTTGTAAAATAAAAGTGCTGCACTAAACTTCATAATCACTTTATTTTTCATGAATATGACAGTACATAAAATGTAAAAATATTGTATAACTCTGTCTTATTTACAGTAACTCTGATTAAAATGTTTGATGTCCGTTTGTTGAAGTGAAACCTTCAGTTCTCACTTCTTAAACTGAGCTGCAGCACATAAAAGAGAACGCTCGCCAAAGCAGAATATGGAGGAATATTTTATTAAATCGTGCTTTTTGGTTGCTGAGGGATTGGAATTGTGAATGTTTGTAATTTTTAAGACGAGTGTTTTTCTGGACTGGAACTGAACAGGGACTGTAAACTTTAATGTTGTGGTGCAAGATGTTCAACAGAGGAGGAGTTAGACTGTGAGGATATCTATATATATATATCTATATATATATGTGTGTGTGTGTGTATTCAAAAGTGACCATTGTTAGACCTCAGTGCAGCCCCAAATTAAAATGGATGCTCGTACTTCACTTATATTTCAAGTTATCATGTTCACGGACGGATGGCTGGAGGGTATTTCCAATTCCCCTGTTCGCTCTGCTACTGGGAACAAATAGCATATCTGAATAGTCGCAGTCTGTCAGTGATGTTTGTTTACTAGCAAGTCGTGATTGTCTCACGCTGGAATATGAAACACTGAGAAAGAGGAAGACAAAACAGTTTCACTTCACTTGAGTCAACACGGTCAGACCTCTGCATGGATTCTCACCTGAAGGCTGCGGGAGCGGAGGAGGCTGCTGAGCAGGAGGCCTCTCTTGGAGAGCAGTCTGCTCAGCAGGTCTCCCTCCACACATCTGCCTCCCATGGTACCGTACAGGACCCATCTGCCGTCCACGGCCAGGGAGCTCACGTTTGTCTCCCAGTTACACCCACCAATGCAGTCAAGGATCACGTTCGCTCCTCTGCCTGTGAAATACCAAATGGTGTGAATACCAATTAAACAGACACACCAGTTACATCGTAGCCTGCCGTTCATATTTCAGTGGCGAGCAATTACAAAGTGCAGAGACTGAGTGCTACTAGAAAAACTAAACTAAACTGGACAATAAAATGGAGTCTGTCACCTCCTGTGAAGTCATGGACTCCCTGCACAAAGCTGCCCTCCTTGTAGTTGAACCCAGCTGCAGCGCCCAGTGCCTCAGCCATCCCCAGCTTCTCTCGGCTCCCCGCGGTGACGATGGGCACGGCACCAAGCAGACGAACCAGCTGGATGGCGGCTGTTCCAACGCCGCTGGCTGCAGCGTGAACCAGCACGACTTCACCTTCCTTCACCTGGGCTGTGGAAAGTACATAGAAATACAAAAAATGTGTTCAGTACTAAACCAAACGGCTTTTTCTGTGAGAATACAGTGATCAGTCTCTATCTCAAGAACAAAACCCAGAGATACTCGAGTCGAGGCAGAACTTCACCCCAGCCTGGACAGGACAGTCCAGCCATGGCCTCAGACCAGGAGGTGCTGATTCTCATCCTAGCCGTTTCACACTCGGCTGCAAACTGAATAAGTACTTTATTTACAAGCAAATACTTGTAAATAAATTTAAACGGTGTAAAAAGTCAAAGCAAAAATCTCCTGAATGAGCTGAATGTTTTGATACACAAACAGCAAAAATAGCACAAAGTCTGCAGAAGTAATTTCCACCATATAAGTTGCATTAGTCCAAAAATGTCTAATAAAGTGGAAAAAAAAAAAGAAGTCACATCTATTACGTGACACCGATGACGCGTTGTGTTTTTTATGTGTCGATGCTGACCACCCGGAAACATGTGCCAAATATCGATTTGCTGCCAAATGGTGGCCGCGGAAGCGTGCACGGGAGGACTTTAACAAAAATTTAACAAGATTAACACTTAAAATAATTATTTGTTTGCTCGACATTATAGCAAAGGTGTGTCTCAGTTGAACTTTTCTTTAATAAATGCACTTTAAAGGTCAAATCAGCTGCATTTCACCTGGGCGGTGCAGTGAAATGCAGCTGATTTGACGTTTGCTCCAGGAGTTCGGAGCGAGATGAACGTGGCTTGGTACGGCAAGACAAGTGTCTCATTAATAGCCACTTTTACCTATTAATGAGACTCTTGGCTTGCCATATTAGTCAAGGGCCCTCTAGAGGCTGAAAATGGTATTGTCTAATATTTTTCATGTGAGAATGAACAAAATCGTCAGATCTCAGACAGAAATTGGATTATAAATACGAGGAAAAAATGTATATTAGTCGCTTCAGTGTCTAAGTCGCAGGACGTGCAAATTTATGCAAAAAGGTGCGACTTATACGGCGAAAAATATGGTAGATAGTGAAAACCGTATAAAAAATAAAACAGTAAAACTGTTTAAATCCTGACTCACACAATTAAAGGCCTGTCATTCCTTGAAAGCATATTTTTCACGGTGAAGTTTTAAACTGTGATCATCTTAAACAACAGAGTGAGCTGTTTCAGTCAAACCTTATAATCACGTGTAACTCAAGTGAGACATGACCACATGTTTGTGCTCAGAGTATGTGTTGTGAATGACTCTCAGCTACTACCACACCACATTTTAGCCGACGCTTTCGCACTCACATAGCATCACATTAACACATGTACAAGTTGTTCCTAAGTGTGTACCTATGAAGAGCAGCAGCTGAAAGGCAGTGAGCCAGGTCTCTGGGATGGCAGCAGCCTGGGAGAATGTGAGATTGGAGGGAACGGGCATCAGAAGGTCCTCTGGCACAGACACATATTCTGCATATCCTCCTCCACTGAGCAAGGCCATGACCCGATCGTCTGGGCTCCAGTTCCCCCTCAGCCCTGGTCCCAGGGTGGCCACGGTACCAGCCACCTCCAGACCCATGATGTCACTTTCACCTGGAGGAGGAGGGTACAAACCTCTTCTCTACAGAAAAAAGCAACATTTAAGTTGATTTATTATAAAGGTCTAGCATTCTTCAAAGAAGACATGGCACCTTAGAGCTTTAGAGCAACATCATCTAAGGTCGGGAAAAGACAAGAGTTGTAGTTGGTCAGACATTACACATGACCTCATATGATGTAACACAAGACGTCACGCTGAGATTCTTGTTTTTCTTTCGGCTGCTCCCTTCAGCAGGGGGTGCCACAGGGAGTGACCTCACAAGGCAATCGTTTCATACCGGATGCTGTTCCCAACGCAACCTGGGCTCGAACCAGCAGCTTCCGGATTACAAGACTGACCGCCAGGCTCACATTACGTTTCTGCACAGTGTCTGTGAAACTGACTGAGTTCTGGCCATTTTGTACTGAACGCTGTGGATCAGCTGTGGTGGCCATCTTGAATTGGACTGGTTCCAAAAAAGGAATCAGCTGATCGTTCAGTTCATTGATTACTTTCATCAAAATCCAAACAACGGCTCAAGCTAACGTTTAACGTTTAATGCTGAAGTATATGCACAGATGTTGCTCAAAGCCTGTTATGTATTTCCACACCAAATTACATCTACTATCACACACACGCACACACACACACACACACACACACACACACACACACACACACACACATACGGACAAACCCATTAAAGGCAGTAGATAATGAGCACAGATGAATTTT